TTGGACAGTGATGAAAACTGGAACTGCTATAGATGCCCAGCAGACGAAGCAGCCTGTACAGTACTCCATGAGACTGTGGCAGATGTTACATCGACAATACAGCAAACCTTTAGAAGTATGCATTAAGGAGCATCAATATAATCTGATTCAAAGTCTGCTTGAGAAACCAAATTAGCCAACGATTCATACAAAAAGGACACAAAATAATTTGCAAAGAAGTGAAGATTTTGCAGATTTAACTGAATACCACCCAAAAGAAATACAAGGAGTCAGCTCTTATGTCTTTGGTAGCTCATTTGATATTCCAACCCAGCCTGGATGTCTCTCCCATCTAATCACTGTGGAGGAAGTAAGAAAATTACAACTCCATTCAGTTTGGATTATATGGAAATACTACATTTTTATGTTGGTATTATCCAGGCATTTCATTTATGTAATACTTATTGGTAATGGTTTATTTGCTGTTAAGTCTCTTTTGTATTTAGGAAATCTCAATGGCTTGCATTTCAGTACTCTGTATTTGTTTGGTCCATAATATATATATATATTGTGATGTGTTGCGCAATGGAGGACACCCCCTCCCTCCCCAGCGGTGACATAACAGGTGAGTCAGCACTCTGCCCCCTTCCCTGGGCTACGTGGCACTGCTTCCTACTGTGACGAGACACGCAACGCCGCTGTTGAAACAGGCAACAGGCAACAGCGAACGGAATAAAAGCCGGCTGAGCAGCAAGCGAGTAAACAGTGGTTGTGAGAGACGACGGTAATAACAGCGGTACCCATTACGTAACAGGCAAACATGGCATCAGACAACAGTGGTGCCTATTACATAACTGTTTTCCAATTGTCTGGCTGAGGGTTTATAAGGGAACTACACAGCCGCCGAAGACAGTTCTCAAGGCAGCAGCCTACGAGTTGAGTTGGAATATAGCAGCCGTCGCGGAAAGAAGAACTGGACGTGTGTGTGTGATAATCAGTGATAGTTTGTGATAAGTGAGTAATAATTGGGAGTGTGTGATACAGTGACACTTGTACAGCTCCCATATATTAATTAATACGTGTAGACTACTGAGGACAGAGTGAATTGATTAGCGCATAGGGTTTGTAAACTGTGGAAACCTGCAACAGTGTTGTAATTAATTGTAGCCGATACTTATAGGTTGTTAAATAAACCAATTAACAATCCGAATGGCGTCTTCAGTGGCTAAACACGTTACAATATATATATATTATCAATGATTTTAAAGGTGAAGAGGCTATGCCTTAATCTTTGATTTAATAGCATCTATAACTGTCTTTTTTAGAATGGAACTCTATATCTTTAGTGAATGTTTTTATCATACTCTAATTTTGCCTCTGGCTGTTACATTATGCATGGCCATCAGTGCTAGGCCTCTTGCATGTGGCATTTCAGTTTCTCTTATGCTTGGATTATATTTCCAGTCCTGTGTTGGGTCTACTGTCCAGAGATAGGGACCAGTTCTATTGACTGGGCCTGAGTAGGCCTTTTAGCCGAGGATGGAGGCAGAGTTGTCTCCCAAATGTCTTGTTAAATAAGGATGATGATGATGATGATGATGATGATGGTGGTGGTGGTGGTGGTGGCGGCTAATGTCCAAAAAGACAATAATCACATGAAATGTTCTGGATGGTTTAAAAATGTTGCAGTTAAAAAATTTACTAAATAAACCAGAAAACTTTTAAGAGCAGAGAACATTTTACAAAGAATAAAGGTGAAAAATTTGGTCACTTTGATACAGAAGACTTCTGCTAAGGTTTGTTCTGTTCTAATGTAGCTGCTGTGGTAGGTAGCCAAAATTTATTAAACTAGCACAAAATGCATATGCCACATACTGCAAAGGTGCAGTGAACTTTACTCAGCTGACTTTGTTTTGCTGTCTTCTCATCTGCAGCCTACAAATGTGAAAATCAGAATCTACAGAACTATAATGTTGCCTGTGGTTCTGTATGGCTGTGAAACTTGGTCTCTGATATTAAAGGAGGACCACAGACTGAGGGTGTTCGAGAACAGGATGGTGAGGAGAATATCTGAACCAATGAGGGATGAAGTGACTGCAGGCTGGAGAAAACTACATAATGAGAAACTTTATAACTTGTACTCTTCATCAAGCATAATTACAATGATTAAGTCAAGGAAAATGAGATAGGTAGGCCATATAGCACAAATGAGGGGAGAAGGGGAATACAAATAGGCTATCGGAAAAGGCAGAAGGAAAGAGACCAACAGGAAGACCAAGACATTAGTGGGCACATAATATTAAAATGTGTCTTAGAGAGACAGGATGGGGTGGTATGGACTGGATTGTTCTGGCTCAGGATAGGGACCAGTGGAAGGTTCTTGTGAACACAATAATGAGCCTTCAGACTCCATAAAATGTTCGAAAATTTTTGAATAGCTGCACATGTGGCAGCTTCTCAAGAAGGGCTCAGCTATGTGAAGTTAGTTAGTTACAGCTCCTAGGTTAATGCCACTGCCAAAAAAATTGCAGGGACAAGGGGATTACCTACAAACATCATATAGTAGAGTATTAACTATGCTCAGTAAACATGAAGCTATTAGGAAGCACAGCTGACACACATCCTTATGTAACAGTAGTAGTCTTCTGGAATATGGCACTGTGAAATTTGGGAGATATACCACTGACCAAAAAGTATCCAACTTTATTTTTTGCTGCTGTAAGTAATAGTGAAAGGGGTGGGGAAACTGAGCATAATAGTAGAAGGGACTTTCATGCGCATGCGTGATTTTTTGCTTACTTGCAACACCACCAGATGTGTCTGTGGTTGCCAGATAGTGGAGCGGTGTAACACGTGTTCATCACATTCTCGTTTCGCTCAAGATGACAGAATGCTTGGAGCAGAGATACTGCATCAAGTTTTGTCAGAAATTTGGGGATACCTAAGCGGAAATTCAGCAAAAATTCAGCAGGCTTTCGGCGATGATGCAATGGGGTCACTCAAATTAAAGAGTGGTTCAACTGCTTTAAAGATGGTCATATGTCGGCGGACAGTGACCAGCGTTCCGGGAGACTGTCAACAAGCTGAAATGCTGATGTCATTGAAAAAATGCAGACACTGATCATGGAGGACAATTGTTTGACTATCCAGGAAGTTGCTGATGAGGTTGGGATCAGTACAGGTTCTGCAAACACAATGTTAACTGAGGATTTGGGCATGAGAAGAGTGGTGGCAAATTTTGTGCCCAAGCTGCTTTCACCGGAGCAGGAACAACTCTGCCCTGAGGTCACGCAGGACATGCTGGAGTGCGCCAACTGGGATCCTAAGTTCCTGAAGACTGTGATCACTAGTGATAAGTCATGGGTGTATGGATATGACCTGGAAACCAAGGTCCAGGCATCACAATGGAAGCATCCAACATCCCCGAGGCCCAAAAAAACACGACAGGTTCGGAGCAATGTGAAGGTGATACTGTTATTTTTTTCAATTACCGGGGTGTTGTGCATCATGACTACATGTCACTAGGCCAAACTGTCAATAAGGAGTACTACCAAGAAGTCCTCCGCCATCTTCATGATGCAGTTTGGTGCAAGAGACCAGAGCTGTGGGACGCACGCAGCTGGCAGCTGCATCACGACAACACCCCAGATCATTCATCACACCTGATCCAGGGATTCTTGGCCAAGCACGGCATTCCGCAGGTTCGCCAGGCTCCCTACTCTCCTGACATACCTCGTTGTGATTTCTGGCTGTTCCCGAGGTTGAAGACACCGCTAAAAGGCTCCTGCTTTGACAGCTACAAGGACATCATACAGAACGTGATGGCGCAGCTGCATGCCATTAAAAAAGAAGCCTTCCAGAATTGCTTCCAGTGATGGAAGGACCGCTGGGCTAAGTGTGTGGAGTCACAAGGGGCCTACTTTGAAGGAGATTAGGTACTGCAATCACCCAGATACAGAACTTTGTTTTCCCGGCCCAAGGTCAGATACTTCTTGGACAGAGTAGTATATAGAAACGTTTTAGAGGAACCTGCTGCCTCTATCTTCTACCCTGATGAAGGCAGCAGGTTCATCTGAAAACACTGGTACCTATCTATCTAAGGGCACTGTGTCATTCTGATACTACAACAAGAGCATCAAATCTCAAACAGCATCTTATGTGTGTGTGTAAAACCAACTCCACTGAACTGGTTGTCTCTAGAGAATACCCTTCAAGAACTGAACTGTTTTTGGAATCCAAAGATCCATAACCTCACACCTTTTCCAGTCAGATCCAGTCTAATACTACTCTCTCATCTATGCCTAGGCCTCCCAAATGATCTCTTCCCTTTAAGTTTTCCCATTAAAATGTTGTACATAGTCAACATCCTTCCCATGCATTCTCCAACCCTTGTCCATCTCACCTTCGATTTGAACACTCCAATAATATTCTGTGAAGAGTACTTATTATGAAGGTATGATTCTGGTCTCCTGTATTATGGCAACATGTAGTTTCATACATATTTACCAGCACTTAGAGGAACCTCTTGGCTCATTCTTCGGGGAGAGCAGACAAGAGAGTACTGATCCAGATATCAGATCATACTAAAAAGTTGAGCATTTTTGTGAAACATTTTGAGGATACATCTTTTAAGTTATTTATGGTCAAAGTTCAATTCTGGCGACCTTAAGTTAACACATGTTAAAACATATGAAATTGTGATTAATTAGAATCCGCATTACATCAGCTTTTAAACAAGCTCAGAATGAGCTCCCTAGAGCCAAAGTTAAAGCAGATCATAGGAAAAAAAAAAGAACGTTTCAATACAAAAATAACTACTATAAGGCACAGAGGGCTAAAATATATGTCACTTACTTTCATATGGCATACAAGCTCAAAAAATTTTACTGAAATCTGTAGGGACTGGGCTCCAAACTGCATTTGACTTACACATAAAATGATTCACTTACCTTACTTCATCTTGCAAATCATGTCCAACATCATTGAGAGACTTTTATTTGCTTTTGTCCAACAATCCCTACCTTTCCTCTGCACGATGACCCTGAGGAGTGGACGAGCTGTGAGCAAGGCACGACCGAGGTTGTCATCATTATTGATAGGTAAGAGGTCTCCATCACCAGGATCTGTATATGAGATGAGGAAAGGCACGTCAGCCAAATGGTGCAGTCGCTCAATGAGTCCTCTAAATTCTTCATACTTGCCAGCATCTTGCCTTGACACAGAGAACCGACGAAATTCTGCATCAAACTGGAACAAACAGTAATTACTAGAGATTTTTGGAGTTTATTTTTTCAAGCTGTCAGTATGTCTATCAGACTGTATAGTATCCAAAAGGTTCTTATTTCTCTTCACATTATAGCCTTCTGGGATGTGATGCCATACAGTTTGGTAGACAGGTGCCAACACTTCAGATAAACCTGCTACCACCTACCCCAGTGATGGAGGCAGACAGTTCCTCTGCAAAGTTCATACATAGCTACCAAACTGTATGGTATCACATCCCAGAAGATTAACTTCATACTCACTGCAGTGAGAACCACATATATCATGTATTTAATTTAACAGACCAGCCAGACAGTCAACTCCATGAAGCTGAGTCATTCTTGAGAACACACCAGTTACACAGGTGGTCAAGAATGTCCCAGCATTTTAGCACACCATTCCTCCCTATTTTAATGCAGATTAATTGAGTCCATAGCCCCCATTCTGTGTATTTCTCCAAGAGATATTTTAACATTATCCTCCCACCTACATCTAGATCTTCTTACTGGTCTCCTTCCTTCTGCTTTTCCCACCTAAAGCCTGTATACATGTTTCTCCATCATGCATGCTACTTGCCCCGCCAATCTCACACTCCTTGACTCGATCATTGAGTTATAAAATTATATATGGTTCATTTAATTTTTATCTGTTCGTTTTATAGTCCGTAAGTATCAATCAATCCTACTATGTGACTATGTCACATACCCAGCAGGCCCAGCAGTATAACACATGCAGTCACAGGAGCAAGACACAACACAAAGCACAACACACACACGAAAGTAGGAAGAATGCTCCGATAGAGGAAGATAGGCGTGACTCGCATATTGAGATACGACATAAGGATGACAAATCCTGAATAGTTTTAATATTTTTAATATTTAAAATTTATCAATATATATAACGAGTATATATTTTAGTATAAAGACAACAGGGCATGCAATGAAGTAGTTTGATGTACAACGAAAAGCACCTGAAGATGGCACTTTTGTGCTGAAACATGTAGTGCAAGAGAGAAGAGTAAGGTGAATAAATGTATGCACTGTGAGACAGTTAGAATAAATCATGGACAGTGACGTGATCTTGGACACTAGTCATTTGTTTATTGTGCTGGAAGTAAGGTTAGCGGTACATTTGGTCATCCAACATCAGTAATGGAGGCAGGTAAAGGAGAACAGTGAAGAGTAGTGCACCTTTTGACTGCTGAAGGAGTGGGAGGACGAGAAATTATGTTGTTTACGGTGAACACAGCATGTCACGTTCATGTGCGCTGGCATGGCATAAGAGATCCTGAGAGGGACATGTGTCACTGAAAGATGATGCTCGCCCAGGACAGGGTCATCGTGTCATCACTCCTGATGTTATTGCTGTGTTGGATGGTCATATCCAGGCAAACAGCCGGATCACTTTGGAAGAAATTAGTCTTTTGGTGGGAATAAGTCACGGTTCCGTACACGCCATTGTGACAAAACACCTGTTGTACTGCAAAATCTGCGCGCAGTGGGTTCCACATCGACTCAGAGAATGGCTGCATCACTGGGTCACTTGCAACGATACCATGAGGAAGAGTATGCTTTTCTGTGCCGTATTGCCACTGGGGATGAAACTTGGTGCCACCATTTTGAAACCGAGAGCAAACGGCATAGTCAACAGTGGAAACACGTGAATTCTCCCCCACCGAAGAAATCCAAAGCCGTACACACAAGTTCCAGTAAGGTGATGATGTTCTTCTTTGACTGCAAGGGCCCTCTGCTTGTCAAATTTCTTGAGCATGGGGCCACAATCAGTGCACAGCGCTATGAAGACACTTTGCAGAAATTGAGCCGTGCCATAAAGTCAAAACTCCCTGGAATGCCATCGAATGGCATTATCCTTCTTCATGATAATGTACGCCCATCACTGCCAACTCTGTGAGGAATACGCTATAGATATTTGGTTGGGAAGTGCTTCAACATACCCCCTACAGCCAAGATCTCTCCCCATGTGATTTTCACATTTTTTGGAGACCTGAAGAGAGACATTCATGGACATCGGTTTGCATAGGACGAAGACATGTGTGGCTGGGTAAAGATGTGGTTCCGTAGACAGCCCAGAAGCTTTTTCAAGGATGGGATTGACTGTCTTATCTACCAGTGGGTTAAATGTATTAGCAGGTTTGGAGATTACTTTTGAGGTAAGAAATATTCTTTAATAGGTTTTGGCTTCTGACCCGTTTTCATTTGACTGCCCCTTATATTATACCTGTTTAAAAAAAAAAAGGTAAAGCTATCCCTTTTAACAGGCCATGAAGTCCCACAGGGTTGTGAGACGTTGAGACTCCCACACTTTTCTAGACAATCGGTTCACAGATGGAGGTTGTCAGCCTTATGTGCCGGCCGCCATCAAGATTCCTGGTACTCATTTCTGTTAGAGGCTGAGTCAACCCCAGGGCCATAGTGCCATAGGAAGGGTTAGGTCAATTGAAAAATACCGGAATTCGAACCTGTAACCTTCCAGCTTGTAGCGTAGTACTTCAACCAAGTACAGTACCACATGCCCTCATTATACCATTATATTATATAATTATATTTAATTTTGCACTTCATTCTGTTTAGTCATTCAGATACACCTGCGAAATTTCACTTCAGATGCTTGTAACGAGGCATCCTGCCTTTGGTCAGTAACATGCAGTCTTCATACATTAAATGTACTTAAAACAAGTTCTATAAGTGCCCACTCAGATGAAAGAGGCTCACACTCCTCCCATCAAGTTGGAGTAACCTATGATGATACACAGCTGCGCTATTTAGAAAACTCACTCTTTGCTGCTCCAACTTGCTTGCTTAAAAAAATTATTGTTACAGTGGAAACTTGCTTAACGAGCACCTCTCATAACGAGTAATTCGCATAATGAGCAAAACAAATTGTAAAAAAAAAATGACCTGCTTAACAAGCGATGTTTCGCATAATGAGTGACGAGAGGGGAAGTCCCAGATTGTGCGCTTGCTACATCAGTCTGTGTTTAGCACTCGTTCCGCTAGCATCTTTGTGTCGCTTGTGATCACACATTTCCCCCCCTTGTGTTCAGACATATTATTTGTGATTTTTTTGTGCAAAGTTTAATAACCCTTGCAAAAATGTCCCCAAAGAAAAAGCCACAAAGACTGCCATAAGAGAATAAAAATAACCGTAGAAATGAAACATAAAATCATTGAAAAGCGAGAACGAGGTATGAGCGTGGCTGATCTAGCATGCACATACAATCGGTCTACATCAACGATTTGCACTATCCTCAAGAACAAGGACAAGATTAAGGAGATAGATGCTGCAAAGGGAGTGATAAGAATATCTACGCAATGGTTACATATTCTCGACGATGTTGAAAGGCTGCTCCTCATATGGATAAACAAAAAGCAATTGCAAGGTGACACTATTAACGAGAACATCATTTGTGTGAAGGCGAAAGTGATTTTTGCTGACCTCGTTAAGAAGATGCCAGGATCATCAACGGCCAAAGAAGAATCACTTAAGGGAAGCTTTGGGTGGTTCGAGAAGTTTAAGAGAAGAACTAGCATCCACAGCGTTGTAAGGCACGGTGAAGCAGCAAGCTCTGACACAAAGGCAGCAGAGAACTTCATCAGCGACTTCAAGAGTTTGTCAGAGGAGGAGGAGGTAACAGCAAAGCAACAATCTTCTGGCACAATAAGAGAAATGCTGAAGGCATGGGAAACTGTTGCATCATACATTGAGAACATCGCCCTAATAAGGCAGTGGCTATGCGTGCTACAAATTTATTTAATGATAATGCTGTGTCGCATTTTCACCAAAGTTTGAAGTGTCGGCAAAAACAAATGTCTCTAGACAGTTTCTAGTAAAAAAGAATTAGATATGTATCATAAATAATAAACTAATTATTTCGATTTTTTTTTTGTTTTGTTTTCTGCAAATCGAATTCTCATTCCAGGTTGGTTCATTCCGCATAGAAAAAAAGATGAAGATGATTCATGCTCCTTAACAATGTATATATAATTTTCTTTGAATAAACGTTATACATAAAATTGTTTGAGTATTTTTTCAGCATGGAATGCATTATCGTATTTTACATTAATTTATATGGGAAAAAATTGTTTTGCTTAACGAGTGTTTCGCATTATGAGTAAGATTCTGGAACGAATTATGCTCGTTAAGCAAGGTTCCACATAATGGAAAGAAACGTTAACTCTGTAACTTTTTGAATTGAATTGAATTTATTTACATTCTATAAATCCTAAGCAGGTTAGTACCTTTGGATACAGAACAAGTCAAAATGTTACATACATAAGTACAGGCAATTTTAGCTTAAAAATTAATATAACTTAATTTTACATCATTCTCTATTTACATTGAAGTATTCATCTAAAGAGTAGAAGGAATGAGCATGTAGATAATTCTTTAACTCTGATTTAAACTTTTTAGTATCATTGCCCAAGTTTTTAATACTTTGTGGCAGATTGTTGAACACTTTTATGCCAGTAAAGTAGACTCCTTTTTGATATACTGATAAAGTTGATGAGGGTAGGTGGAAGTTATATTTTTGTCTAGTATTCATGTTATAGACATCAGAATTTAATTTGAATTTATCTTTGTTGTAAACAACAAATAAGAGAAGCGATAATATGTATTGCGATTGAAGAGGTAGAATTTTTAATTTCTTAAATAATTCTCTACATGAATCTCTACTTCTACATCCTGTAATGATTCTAATTATATTCTTTTGTATTTTAAAAATTATTACACTATGTGAAGAGTTCCCCCAAAATATTAATCCATAGTTCATAATAGAATGAAAGTAGGCATGGTAAACCATCTTCAATGTTTCCTGTGACAAAAGGCTTAATTGATCTCATCGCATAGCAAGCTGCATTTAATTTAGGTATAATTTGTTCAATATGTATTTTCCAAGACAGTGTACTGTCTACATGTATTCCAAGGAATTTTGTATCAAGTACTTTACAGATTAATTTGTTGGC